CATTAGTTAAATCAGAACGTTGTCATTAGTTAGAACGTTATGAAGATGTCATTAGTTAGAACGTTATGAAGATGTCATTACTTATGAGAATATCATTAAAAGATGTCATTAGTTATCAGAATGTTAAAGATGTCATTAGAGACGAGTATGTATTTCAAGTTCATCATTTGTTTTTATGTAAGAGATTGTTTTTATACGCCCACATTTTCAGTTGTATGTACAATTAAAGATGTAGTTAACATCATTTTCTCTGATTATTTACAATGCACAAATAATATCAATAAACAAATAAAGTTAAAATGTTTTGTTATTTTACAGAAAAATGGAAATGATTTCTGGCAACAGATTTATTACCAGAATATCTTTTTTAAAGTTCTGTTTTTTTACAGAACTGGAAGGAAAAATTCCGGCAGCAGATTTACCAGAATATTCTTCCTATTTTCTGTTAAATTACAGGAAATATTAGAAAAATTCCGGCAGCAGATTTACCAGAATATCCTTCCTATTTTCTGTTAATTACAGGAAATATTATTAGTCATTCTGTAATTTAACAGATTTTGTCGTAAAATATTTCTGTTATTTAAAGCAGATATTTTACAAGAAATTCTGTTTTATAACTGAAGTCAAAATTTAAATTCTGGTAAATCAGCTGCCGGAATTTTTTCTGTTAATCGAAGGAAATTTTTTTTACAGTGTACTACAACACGTTTAATCAAACGTTGGTTCGGTGTACTCAAACGTAAACAAATCGTTTTCGGCTTTCCAAAGGATACCAAGTGTTTTTACCGAGGGAAGATTTCCGTCATCCAACGATAATTTGTTTAAACGATCAGATATAGGAATATCGGACAGAACTTAAATTTCAAATCCTGCACCTGACAGCAGTGAAGTAAGTTCACGGCGTAGTTCAATAGCTTCCGATACGGTGTCGACGCTATCCAACAAATCGTCTACATACATTGAGTCTAAAACGGAATGAGCTGCTAGTGGATACTCATCGAGATTTCGCTTACAATGTTCGTTGAGAACCGTTTGCGACATAAATGGCGAGGAAGAATTTCCAAACACAAGTCTGTTGTATTGATAGATTTTGACCTGGCGAAGTGGATCCATGTCGCGCCATAGAATTTTATGATATTGGCGATCGTCCTCTTTTAGCTTTATTTGCAAAAACATTTCTCAAATGTCAAACGCAAGTGCAGTAGGCTTATTTCGAAACCGTAAGAGGGCATCAAGAAGTTCACGCTGTAGCTTAGGTCCAGGATTAATACAATCATTTAAGGACAAACCATATGAACGCGCAGCCACATCAAGGACCAAGCGGACATTAGAAGTAGATTTATCCATGCGTACAACCGCAAAATGAGGAAGGTACCAAGATGGCAAAGAATGAGACCGTACGGTGATATAGCCTTTAGCTATATGTTGTCTGATAATTTCCGAATACTGCGAAGATACTTCCGGGTGTTTACTCAAAGAGCGCTCAAGGCTCAATAGCCGCGTTTCCGCGTTCTCATAATTAGAGATCATAGGATCATAGGATAAAGTATCCTTGGCAGACTTAACCGTTTCTAACTCCGACTTAAAGTAATTCAAAGAACCAGATTGAATTCCAGCGGTTTCAAGTTCCCACGATTGGCGCAGCAATGAGTCTACATCAGGTTCTGTTTTGACAAAATAGGCAAAATGAGAAAAGTTACTAGCGATTGAACAATACGGATCTGCAGGTCCGATACACGTCCAGCCCAATGGAGTTAAACGCGCAACTGGTTCCCCAGGCAAGCCAGCTATCTCTGTGATAGCACGATGTACGCCGGGAATGTTTAAACCGATTAACATGTCAACACGAGTGTCATCGATGCATGGAAACGGTGTGTCTTGCAAATGCGACCAAAATCTAGATTGTCTGTTCCAATCAACGGTTCTCAAATTACCCGCTACATTTTTGACAGTGAATGTGGAAAATGGAATGCAAACTTTGCGATCGAGACTGCATAGTTCTGCAGATACCAAAGTTGACTTTAAACATGACGATTTTCCGCCAAGAACGCAGACATATAAATCTCGGATTTCGCCTTGGAGGTCGAGATGGGCAGCTATATGCTCATTGATATAACTGTCCGTCGAGCAATCGTCCAAAAGGGCATTACAACGAATGAGTTACAGAATGATTATAATTCAGTTTTTGTGTAGAATTGGAAACTTATCTAACAATCACAATGACAGGACCAGCACCTGTAAGTATAGAGGTTTACTTTCACTTAATGATATTTTTTACATTAGTTATTTCTGACACTATATTGCTTTGTAAGAATGTTTTGGGGCAATCTGACCAAGGTCAAAAAGAAGTAAAAGAATGGTTATTTTTATAGTTAGTTACATTAGCTACATTTGTTATTGGTTTTGTGTCTAGGTCAGGTGTGCAATATAGATAATTCAGAAGGGCAGGTGCGCCATGATTTTGATCGATCGTATCTTATTCACAAAAACTTGAATTTTTTATCAAAGCTAATATGTAATAGTGTTCACAGCTCACCATCGAAATTTGAGCCTTCAAATCCATGTATTTGACTAATCCACGTTTAAAAGTTAAATGGAGGGCTCGTCATTTTAAGATAATCTATGATATATAGATAAGACATATATAGAAATAGTACGGAGCCCCTAAGGCGCAATTGTAAACATATTTATTTATTATTTCGTTTAAATTTATTTATGTATATTCTAATATGGAATTCTTTAATTATGTTCTGTAGACATTTTCTGTTGGATATCATGTGTAATTATTGAGAATTTGCTCTCAAATGTACTTCAAAGAAATTTTCAATCTTACTGACAGTAGTCCAAAGGCATCCTTTTCATTACCACGTGCATTGCTTGAATTTCTGAAGTCTAAGTTGTCTGTAAGAACTATTAATTTTAAGATAAGGTTACAATTTCATTATGTTATCATGTGTATATTGTTGCCAGAAGTTGAGACTGTCTATTAGTGTTGACATTTTGCAAATTGGTATATGTTAGTTCAGATTCTGTATTTTGCTACGAATGCCTGTGGATTCTTATAATTGTGAGTTGTGTCTTATGATTGTCATTTTTATATTTTGTAGCAAAACCATTCAATTCAAGTAAGGACATTCAGTTCAAGTTAAGACATTCAACTTATGTTCAACCATTGAATGTGTATTCCTTAGGGAACTATGTAATTATGTGGATACTTGTTTATTAGTAAATGGGATATGGTTTATGTATGCTGAAACTTCCTAATATGCTGGAATGACCCTTTGGTGGTACTATGTTCGTTGTTACGTCGATACCTTTAGAATGACCCTTTGGTGATACTCCTTTCTTTGTTACGTCGATACTTATTGAGTTGACATGTGTTTAATAAAAACACATAATAGGCCTACATACTGAAATATGTTGAAGAACAATGTATATTGCTGAAATGAGTATTATGAAAACATATATTGATTGTACTGAACTGTGCTTGTGAACATTTTCTCGATTAAATATTTTACCGGTACGTTTGGTCTTAGCATTAACTATGCTGATACGTCGATGATGTGTTGGTGCGTCACTTGGTCTACGACGGTCCCCACAGTTATCATAAATTTGAGGACAAAATTTTTTCGACCTGCAAACAAAGCGGAATGCCCCTTTAATGTAATTATTATATGTGTTGGTCGTTAGCAGTCTCGTAATTACATTGCACAGTAGGTGTGATGGATCTTTTTGTGAGCTATCGATATTCTTCAATTATATATATCGGGTGTTCCAAAAAACGTCCCAATAATAATAAAAATGAAAATTGTACAAGTATTATCCCGAACAAAATATCATGTCAAAAAATGCTATATCAAGGCTACTTACCTATTTTAACCTGTTTTTAAGACCGATACTTGATATTTGTGACGTAGATTAAGGCAGTAGACAAGGTGAAACAAGTAAATAATACATACATAATATGTAAAATAAGAAGGTCCACAGTCTATTCTCTTCAGATATTGACATTGGTATTCATTATTGATTATTTCTTACCATTTATTTGCGTTATCGCGGAAATCCCATTTTGAAGCTTTTTTTGGTGATTCCCAAACTGAACATGAATATAGGTCAAATACGAAGGTATATTCATAGGTCTATTGTAGGTAAAACAAACTGTTAATTTAATTCAAAATTTTGCCTTTTATTAAGATAATAGACACGAGTCCTTACACGTTTTAACCGTAACTGACTATTCTTAAAGCTTATGGTGGATTCAAATATAATTCCATTATCTTATTCTATACAAAGAAAACTTAGTTTTATTTTCTGGCTTTAAAGATTGGGTCAAAAATATAGACAGGTTCACCTAGTTAGAAATCAAATTATGGAATTTTGTCCAAAGTGTAATTTTTGATCTACAATTTTATAAATGGGATTTTTATTTTGTATTTTAATACTTTAATGTAACACGCGAGGAAATTATTTCATCAGAATTATTTTGAAATTAAAACAGTTTTATGATTAAAATGGAAAAACCTTGCATCATCACAACTTCACAACTTTAAAATATTGAATTGGTAATTCCAAAAAGTCATTACAAATAAGAGTTACAGAATGATTATAATTCAGTTTTTGTGTAGAATTGGAAACTTATCTAACAATCACAATGACAGGACCAGCACCTGTAAGTATAGAGGTTTACTTTCACTTAATGATATTTTTTACATTAGTTATTTCTGACACTATATTGCTTTGTAAGAATGTTTTGGGGCAATCTGACCAAAGTCAAAAAGAAGTAAAAGAATGGTTATTTTTATAGTTAGTTACATTAGCTACATTTGTCATTGGTTTTGTTTCTTGGTCAGGTGTGCAATAATTCAGAAGGGCAGGTGCGCCATGATTTTGATCGATCGTATCATATTCACAAAAACTTGAATTTTTTAGCAAAGCTAATATGTAATAGTATTCACAGCTCACCATCGAAATTTGAGCCTTCAAATCCATGTATTTCACTAATCCACGTTTAAAAGTTAAATGGAGGGCTCGTCATTTTAAGATACTCTATGATATATAGATAAGACAAATATAGAAATAGAGAGTAAATTCCTATTTTGATGTATTTGTAAGGAATAATGCAACATTTCTAGTACTCTTAAAGACTATTTACACATATTCAAGACCCAAATCAGCCCCATCAGCCCCGAAAATGGTGAATCTGTCACTTTAAGTAATCTAAATACATGTAATCAGAAATTATCGATTATTTACATTTTCTTTTAGATTTGTGATTGTTGTTTTCCTGGTCAGGAGACTTCCTTTGTTACATTAAAAAATGATAAAAGAAGAATAGAAGATGTAGAAGTTGGTGATGAAGTTAAAGTCATTACAGATCAGTTAGAATTTAGATACTCCAGAGTCTATGCTCTGGGTCACAAGAATAAAGATAGAAAGACTATGTTTATTGAATTAGGAACCGCGAGTAGTCGAATACCAATCAGTCCACGACATTTCATAAAAATTTACGACAATGGAAATATTATTGAAAAATTTGCTAAAGACGTGAAGGTATGTTACATTTATGATCTTTATATCTATATTTAAACTGTATCAATGAAACATTTGAACAATTATAGCATCTTTAATGTACACTTGACAAAACAGAATGGTAACAGTCTAATACTTCTGACAACTCTTATATAAACATTGCAAGAAAATCGGAATTAAAGGTCATTCACTGGTATTATTTTATATTTCAGGTAGGAGATACCTTATTGATTGATAATAACGACCAGTTAGTAGAAGAACCTGTTCTGGAAATAGATCACGTTGAAGCTCAAGGACTGTATGCACCTTTTACTGAAGAAGGAAACATAATTATTAACAATGTTGTTGCAAGTTGCTACGCTGAGGTGAAATCATCCCTTGCCCATAAATTACTTTCACCTATAAGAGGTCTTAGCAGATATTTACCAACACCTATCATGGATCTTGTCATGACTCCAAACAATGATGGAGTTCCAATGGTGTTTGATGCTACACTGAATGTTGCTCATCCTTTAGTTGCAGAATAAAGTAAAGCATAATGGCTTTGTATAATGATATGTCTAGATTAAAGAAATTTTAAACGTTAATCGTTTTTTGTTTCCAGCAAATTGGCCATATAATTGAACCGACGGTAATGAGCACGTTTTATAGAATTCTAGTATAATATGATCAGGTCTCCGAAACGTAAGAGCCGCCTGTCTGTTCGTTTCACGCGGGGTGTAATTATGTGATATGCTTTTAAACTCTTAGCGAGGCACCACCCACACTTTTCCCTCTTCCTACGGCCAACATGCAAATTTATTTCATTTTGGCTGTCAACTGAGAACGCACAGTAAACAAAATTACATCCAATATCAGCTGTATAAACTGAAACTTTGTTACTGATATATATGATGCAGTTAAAGGAATGGAGTAACATGATATAACCATAATTTACTGTCTCATATAAACTACACACTCCGCCACCGCTGCCTCACCCTCATTCTAAAATTAGAATAAAGCAGGAATTTTCCTCCGGGAATTTTCAATTTAGTTTACGGGAATTCCAAATCCACAATTATTATCAGTGTATTTTGCTGTACACCAACATTATAAAAAATAGAATAAAGCACCAAAAACAAATGAACTAAATTTGGCTTTGGAATTCCCCCAAAACAGGCTGAAAATTCCCGATATAGTGCAAGATGACCGCTTTGTTCTAATTTTATAATAAAGGTAAAGACAAAAAATTCCTTTCGAAAAATAATTTTTCGGAAACTTTCGGATATTGTTATGATTTACACCATTGACACTACTTCATAATATATTTGTCATTGATTGAATATAGCAAAATACCCATAATAAAGACAGTCACGGTTATTAGTTTCTTGGTATATATTTGGATAGCGAGTGGATAGAAAAAAATATACATGTATACTGTTATTTACGGCCAATAATAATTATTTTTTAAAAATGAAATCGGGAATACCATGGTTTGATTTTCTACAAATGGTAAATGGTTGCAAACAGAGCCTAATAATTGTTGATTAAGCAGTTTGGCCTAGTATTGGTGTTCGGCTTTATGATATCTCGTTATTATTTGTTGAAACCTTCAGAATAAGTCTCTGCAATTTGACGTTTATTTTGCTTAAATCCGTAGAGTAGTTTTCTTACATCTACCAAAAAGAAAAACGAACTTAAAAACTTTACGTAACGTTTTTTAAATATTTTTGGCTTTAAAACATAAATGCTTGTTTTTATTTAGTTAAAAATTCAGACATGTTAAGGGACACATTTCTCTAGATTTTGGTGTAGAGTTATCATAAATTTGAGGACAACATTTTTTCCGACCTACAAACAAAGCAGAATACCCCTTTAATGTAATTATTATATGGTTATTGGTCGTTACAATTACATTGTACAGTAGGTGTGGTGGATCTTTTTGTGAGCTATCGATATTCTTCAATTATATATATCGGGTTATATATTGATTATTTCTTACCATTTGTTTGCGTTATCGCGGAAATCCCATTTTGAAGCTTTTTCTGGTGATTCCCAAACTAAACATGAATATAGGTCAAATACGAAGGTATATTCATAGGTCTATTGTAGGTAAAACAAACTGTTAATTTAATTCAAAATTTTGCCTTTTATTAAGATAATAGACATGAGTCCTTACACGTTTTAACCGTAACTGACTATTCTTAAAGCTTATGGTGGATTCAAATATAATTCCATTATCTTATTCTATACAAAGAAAACTTAGTTTTATTTTCTGGCTTTAAAGATTGGGTCAAAAATATAGACAGGTTCACCTAGTTAGAAATCAAATTATGGAATTTTGTCCAAAGTGTAATTTTTGATCTACAATTTTATAACTGGGATTTTTATTTTGTATATTAATACTTTAATGTAACACGCGAAGAAATTATTTCATCAGAATTATTTTGAAATTAAAACAGTTTTATGATTAAAATGGAAAAACCTTGCATCATCACAACTTCACAACTTTGAAATATTGAATTGGTAATTCCAAAAAGTCATTATAAATAAGAGTTACAGAATGATTATAATTCAGTTTTTGTGTAGAATTGGAAACTTATCTAACAATCACAATGACAGGACCAGCACCTGTAAGTATAGAGATTTACTTCATTTAATGATATTTTTGATTGTAGAAAGACAGAAAGCTGTTTTACATTAGTTTTTTCTGACACTATATTGCTTTGTAACAATTTTTTTTGGAAATCTGGCCAAGGTCAAACAGAAGTAAAACAAAGTCGAAAATGGTTATTTTTATAGTTAGTTACATTAGCTACATTTGTAATTGGATTTGTGACTAGGTAAGGTGTGCAATATAGATAATTCAAAAGAGAAGGTGCGCCATGTATTTGACCGATCGTATCTTATTCACAGTAAATTGAACTTTTTAGTAAAGCTAATAACTAATAGTAAACAACTCAACATCGAAATTTGAGTCTTCAAATCTATGTGTGTTTTGACTTATCCACGTTTAACAGTTAAAAAGGGGGCCCGTCATTTTAAGATACTCTATGATATATAGAAATAGAGAGTAAAATTCCTATTTTGATGTATTTTAAGGAATAATGCAACATATATTCACACATATTCAAGACCCAAATCAGCCCCCGAAAATGGTGAATCTGTCACTTTAAGTAATCTAATTACATGAAATCAAAAATTATCGATTATTTACATTTTCTTTTAGCTTTCAAAATGTTGTTTTCCTGGTCAGGAGACTTCCTTTGTTACATTAAAAAATGATAAAAGAAGAATAGAAGATGTAGAAGTTGGTGATGAAGTTAAAGTCATTACAGATCAGTTAGAATTTAGATACTCCAGAGTCTATGCTCTGGGTCACAAGAATAAAGATAGAAAGACTATGTTTATTGAATTAGGAACCGCGAGTAGTCGAATACCAATCAGTCCACGACATTTCATAAAAATTTACGACAATGGAAATATTATTGAAAAATTTGCTAAAGACGTGAAGGTATGTTACATTTATGATCTTTATATCTATA